CGAAGAACAAATTCTACGAAGAACTGCCCGTTCTCGTGGCTTCTGTGTCGAAGACGGACAAACTGGTTGTCAGCATTACCGGCAAAAGCAAGGGGGCCTGGAATGGCCATTTCTGGCTTATTATCCGTCATCAGCCAGTCATGACCCAGAACCAAGTGGTGCAAGGCTCAAACTCGCGACCTTTTCTATCAGTGTCTAGCATTCTAACCTGTGAGCCACGAGCTCGTTGTCTGGCCGGCTTTAGATCTTTGCCGACAATGCTATCTGCTCAGACCACTAGCCGCCGTGCAGCTGCTGCCAGGGCCCGAGAAATGAGACGCAAGGCAGAGCAGGACAAGTGAGTTCCGTTAGGGATCGGTAAACGTTCATCAAACTGGTTGCTCTTGGCGACTTAAACGCCCATGTCGGGGCAGATCATGCTGTGTGGCAGGGAATGCTGCTTCCCCACGGTCTGGGCCGCTTTAATGAGAACGGCTTCCTTCTGCGTATCTGTGCAAAACACCGTCTGTTACTGACCAAGACCTTCTTCCGCCTTTTTATGCGGGATGCATCCCCGATCGCGGCAACGGCTGCTGCTGGACTATGATTTCGTCAGCGACAAATCACAAGTCGCTATCTGACCACTTGCGGCGGCTCAAGATTGAGCTCCAAGGTACAACGGGACGATAAAGTTTCTTAATCAGATCGGTGAGCGTCCTACTATCATCATATTTCCGATCGCAGCCCAATGGTAGAGTGCTACACCTTCAAACTAAAGTCTCGGGTTTCAATATCGAGTGATCAACACCTGAAATGACTGGATGACGGCTATAAAACAGAAATGGTCTTGCCGGTCTCGCTTGTGCTTGTTGGTTCCACTTCATCATAAGTTACTTCACTTATTTTTAAAAACTAATCATTACCTTCGAGCGGAGCAGGTTATAGAGCAGTAAACTCAAGCTGGTGAGGAAAAGGACGTGCATGTTTTGCCCATATCAGCTTGGACAAAGAATAGCTTTGAAATTTGTTTGGAAACCCATTCAAGAACGACTTTCGATTCAGGTATTACATGCAAACAGTGTACAAAATACTGAAACGATTCAAATCTTCGCGAAGTTTCTACAGCACACCGCTTGCATGAGACGAAAATGTTCAGCAGGCAGCCCCGTCAAAAGTGCTTGTCCGCGCCCTGGTTTGAATAGACTTACGTGATGGAAGACGACTTGTAGTTTCCCTGTGGCGCCACTTCCTCCTCCCGCGTCACACCATACATGTGGTCATGTGATGCAGTCTAGGTCGCCCGTGGGACAGCCAATCACGGGTG